CTTTCCTTTCACTTTGTTCGTGAACCTTGGCTTCTGTAGAAAGCAAACTTGATCACTTTTTTTGTATTACATATTAATTTCACGACCCGGTATTTAAATATGAGATAAAGAGATATAACCAGCACTCGATAGAATCTCATGCTTGGAAATAGTTCAAGTTATATTATATAGCTCTAAGATACATACTGATATTATGTTCTGCTGGTTTCTGATGCTGTTAGTTCTTTTGCTATTTCTGTTACGTAAAATGAGAAAATGGGGTTGGCTATACAATAGAAGTATAAGATCACAGAACTTCTTTTTATATGTTTTAAGCTCGTCTTTAATAGGCCCTTAAACTTACTGGTACCTGAGTACTATCTTTAAATTTCCCTTTTGAGTTCTTCTTTACTGACAGAAAGCTTCACTACTTTATTGTTTTTCTTCATGCACTAAGCTTGCTTGTCAAAGGATTGACACATAGAATGACTGTATATAAATAATAAGCCACATAGATATCACACGCCAATATGTGGAGTTATTCTATTGGACAATTAGTGTTTATGTCATATCTTGCGTATTCACTCATACGCGTATAGAAAAATGAGTTTTCAGTGTGAGGGCAAGAAAACCCGCCTTTCTCATAAACACAACACATAGAAATGCCCATGTAAGTAACAAAATCGTTAAAGAAAGTACATTTCACACATGTTGTGCTAATTATGATGAATTTATTAATGTAATTTGTAGTAATGTTGCTTTTGACATTTACCTAAATGTATTTTCTCAAGAAGTGAATGTAAGTAATCACAAAATAAAAAAATATACCCTTATTTCATTGAGACTCTTGCTAACATTGCGTAGTTAATAGTAAAGAAAAGGTCTGGCCCGAAAGGGTCAGCCTTGACATCAGCTTGTCAAGAAAGCCTCTAGTGACGTCGTTGCGGTGAAAACCAAAGCGGCCAACCAAACCACACCCAGTTAATGGCTCTGGGAACGGCTAGCAAGAAACACCGGTCTACTCTGGTCTCCTCTATTTTGACATTTGGTACAACGTGGTCAATCCGTCATAGAGAGGTGTAGCATAGGTGGGAGCCACCGGGCGCCAATGAAATACCACCACTCTCTATGACAAGCCAAACGGACTGAGGATGAGTCCTGATATTCTCCTCCCCGTTGATGTCAGATGTTGAGGTTCAAAGACGATCAGATAGACTGGTTTTTTATGGGTTGACAGCCGAACGTTCTAGCGACGCAGTTGACCTATAATAAAACCAACTCAACCCGTGCGATAGGCATCCATATGTCTGGGGTATGACTGATTTAACAAGTTGGGACGCTTATTGAGCCCAAGTAGGAGAGTCAGTATAGAGTTTGGTCTGACTGTCATGATGTACTGGTCTACTTCTTGCTGGCTGTTAGCCTATATTGTAACAGCAAATGGAGTTTTTTTTCGCAAGATAAATTACTTTATTCAAGCCTCCACTCTCTCGTGATCGGTGTTCTGATCCTGTTTTCGCGAAGATGTGCTTGTTCAATGAGTTTTTGACTGAACGCCTTTAAGTCATTACTCTGTGCTGGAAACAATGTTACTCGTTCTCCGTACAATTTTGTACTTGATACCATATACTGTCTTTCGCTTATTACTGTCTAGGCAGTCGTAAGCAAAGACACCCTGATAATGCCAATTCTAGAACGGTAAAATCTCGTTCATCCCAAACGAAAAAGGCGGGGTCTCCAAACTTTATACGGTCTTCGTTGCCTAAAAAAGTGAAGTTCGCCCTTGTCTTTCGATTTCTTCCCTCCGTCTCGGTCTATAGTTGACTTTTTAGTTGGCTTGACAGGTGTTTTTCCAACCTTGGTTGGAAGAGCGTGAGTTCGAATCTCACAGAGACGTATTACTAGCAACAAGCTAGTTACAATTTCATATATATATTATAATTACTAGAGCACAAGCTAGTCATAAATAGTATTTCAAGATAGTAAAAATATCATTTAATTGTATAAATATATTTAATGAACTGCTTACTGCTTGCCTTTGACCAAAAACGCTACAAAAGACCATAACATATCGGTGTCCTCATGGAAAGCATGTTTAACATATACAAGTTCAAACTTCTGCCTGCTGACCATCTTCACCTCAGTACAAACTATCTTGCAAGTATTAGTTAAATAGAAACAAATTAGAAAGTATTTTGTAATGAGCATTGAAGCATTGCTGACGCTCTATTCAGCATCAAGGTGTAAACACACATCAATTTATAGCATCGCCACGGTTGATATCTCACTCAAATAAGTTAATAATAATACCATGCCAGCCGTTCAGAAAAATTGTAAGCTTACTGAGATATTCGGGATTGTTTATGGATTGGTATATCAATAATAATAAAAGTAAATATTGTGAAAGTGTTATTTATTAAAGAGACCAAATAATATTGTTTATATCTGTTACTATTAAAACAGCTATAATTCAAATACCTGTTGTGTAATAGTTGGTTTACACTGTATGAGTGTGTAGTGTACATATGTCTGGTGTGTAATAGTCCTGGTGATTATTAACTTTCCCGATTTATTGGCAAGCAGAAACCAGTGTTTGGTTCTGGAGCCTGTTCTTCACTTACTTGTGGTGTGTATACCACAGCCACCAACATACTAGCCTTTCTATACTGTTGATTTATTTATTAATATTCATAAAAAGAAAAATAATATACATATATAACACAGTACATAGTTCCTTTTTATTAATATCAACAAGCCTATTAAATATTTATTGATCATGAGATATTGTTGTTGGTAATTTTTAAAAAAAATATTAATAATAAAAATTCAAATCAAAAGAGTTTTTTATTATAATTTTATTAGTGGACTAAATCGAAGAATATATATATATATATAGAGAGAGAGAGAGACAATTGTCAAATTCTTAGTTCACCACTTTGTCAAAAGGTAAAATAACAAGAGTGGATCCATCCCCTTCAGGACGAAGACCTGATTTGACGGCGAAGGGGAAAAAATGAGTCGGTTGCTCTCTTTTCAAGAAAGAGTGGAGTGGAAAACAGAGGCGAGGTCAAGCAGCATTGCACGTCCGCATACACCATTCCAAGCCAACGGATGTTTTCTAGATCAACGGTTTCCACACCGCATCACACACAGCCACACCCAACTCGTCTGGACACTTGCGCAGGAAACTGCCAGTGAGATACGTCAATAAAGACCGTAAAACACAGTACAAGAGATCATTCGTGCATTCTCTCTTGTAGGTCCAGAATAAAGAAACGTAAGCTCGCCTGAGAACGAAACGCCCAGAGAGTCGACACTAGTAAAGTAAGTATACTTTGTACTTGCATTCTTGACGGAACAATACTTACCAAGAATTCTTGCGACCAGAACGTATACTTTGCAGAGAGAATGCCAAATTCTTAGTTCACCACTTTGTCAAAAGATAAAATAACAAGAGTGGATCCATCCCCTTCAGGACGAAGACCTGATTTGACGGCGAAGGGGAAAAATGAGTTGGTTGCTCTCTTTTCAAGAAAGAGTGGAGTGGAAAACAGAGGCGAGGTCAAGCAGCGTTTCACGTCAGCATACACCATTCCAAGCCAACGGATGTTTTCTAGATCAACGGTTTCCACACCGCATCGCACACAGCCACACCCAACTCGTCTGGACACTTGCGCAGGAAACTGCCAGTGAGATACGTCAATAAAGACCGTAAAACACAGTACAAGAGATCATTCGTGCATTCTCTCTTGTAGGTCCAGAATAAAGAAACGTAAGCTCGCCTGAGAACGAAACGCCCAGAGAGTCGACACTAGTAAAGTAAGTATACTTTGTACTTGCATTCTTGACGGAACAATACTTACCAAGAATTCTTGCGACCAGAACGTATACTTTGCAGAGAGAATGTCAAGTTCTTAGTTCACCACTTTGTCAAAAGATAAAATAACAAGAGTGGATCCATCCCCTTCAGGACGAAGACCTGATTTGACGGCGAAGGGGAAAAATGAGTTGGTTGCTCTCTTTTCAAGAAAGAGTGGAGTGGAAAACAGAGGCGAGGTCAAGCAGCGTTTCACGTCAGCATACACCATTCCAAGCCAACGGATGTTTTCTAGATCAACGGTTTCCACACCGCATCGCACACAGCCACACCCAACTCGTCTGGACACTTGCGCAGGAAACTGCCAGTGAGATACGTCAATAAAGACCGTAAAACACAGTACAAGAGATCATTCGTGCATTCTCTCTTGTAGGTCCAGAATAAAGAAACGTAAGCTCGCCTGAGAACGAAACGCCCAGAGAGTCGACACTAGTAAAGTAAGTATACTTTGTACTTGCATTCTTGACGGAACAATACTTACCAAGAATTCTTGCGACCAGAACGTATACTTTGCAGAGAGAATGTCAAGTTCTTAGTTCACCACTTTGTCAAAAGATAAAATAACAAGAGTGGATCCATCCCCTTCAGGACGAAGACCTGATTTGACGGCGAAGGGGAAAAATGAGTTGGTTGCTCTCTTTTCAAGAAAGAGTGGAGTGGAAAACAGAGGCGAGGTCAAGCAGCGTTTCACGTCAGCATACACCATTCCAAGCCAACGGATGTTTTCTAGATCAACGGTTTCCACACCGCATCGCACACAGCCACACCCAACTCGTCTGGACACTTGCGCAGGAAACTGCCAGTGAGATACGTCAATAAAGACCGTAAAACACAGTACAAGAGATCATTCGTGCATTCTCTCTTGTAGGTCCAGAATAAAGAAACGTAAGCTCGCCTGAGAACGAAACGCCCAGAGAGTCGACGCCAGTAAAGTAAGTATATTTTGCTCTTATGTTCTTTACGGAACAATACTTACCGGAAATTTTTGTGACCAAGACGGATACTTTGGAGAAAGAAAGAAAGAAAAGAAAAGAAGAAAACAAATACATAGAGCAAGGTATACATATAAAGGGTATATACAAAGAGGGGTATATATATAGAGATAGGTAGATATAGAGATAAATATAAAACTATAGATAAAATTATATAGAGTCGGAAATAAAGATATGCATAGTAAAACCTGTTGAAAAATAACACCATCATGATAAAGAAATCTTTTAATGATAAAGAAGCTGTATGTACAAATGAAAATAAAAGAGCTCTTACCAAAATGCCCTTATGACAAAGAGTTATGTTCAATCGGCCAAAAAAAAAACTATATGGGTGGGATGCTTTAAAGAAATAAAGGGATAGATTACAGTATGGTTTAAAGATAAAGAGATATATAGACATATAGATAGAGAGACTCTCCAATGATTATATGATATATTGACGGAAGGATAATTCAATGATAAAGAGATATGTAGGCATATAGATAGAGAGGTTCCCCAAGGATTAGACGATATATCGACGGAAAGATTATACAAAGATAAAAGAGAGAGAGATAGAGAGATTTTGCTTGACCAAGCTCCTGCTAGTGTTTATATAGACAATTATTTGATTTTTTTTTTAAAAAAAAAAAGAAAGGGAAAACATGGTCACTCTATCGCAGTCTTTTGGAGTAATGAATGCAAATACAGATCATCTCTTAAAATGCTATATAATACAACAGAGCAACAAATTACTTAGCACTCTTTTAAATATTCTTGAAAATAATTATTACCAAACCTTTGTAGATAGAGAGTATCAATATATCACTCTTCAAAAGAGATGTATAAATACCTTGATATTACTCTTACAAGGGATACACTAGAGTATATTGTACTGCACTCTAAAGAATAAAAGATATATTTGCAGCATTTTTACTATCAGTATGATAGCTAGGTAATATTTTATGCACAGCGACTGATAAACATAGTAATTATAAGAGGGGGGTTTTTTTTAAAAAAAAAAAGGAATCTCCAGCATTAATAATTGATGTACACCGCTGATATTTTAATTGCAATATACCACTTTTGCATACCAATATTTTATCCTACACTTATTATTTATATGAATAATCTCACTGGTCAAAGAAGTGTTCTGTAAAAAAAAACACCGGCCTTCTCTATGAAAAACTACACTTTATTAAAAAAACAAGATCTTTCACAGCATAATTTGTATTTTATATAAAAAACTATCAAGTAATAATCTTTTTACTTGGATATTGTATGCCAATTATTTGTGTTTTTGGTTAATAAAGTAGCGGATCTTTTTTTTTATCAAAGATAGTTATAAGCAAAAGTGTTATGCTGTATGATCTGCAAATAAGTGATATATTTTGTACTCTATTAATATATATATAAATGTTTTCTTGATTGATACTCACAATAAGAAACACTTTTTCACAAAATAAATTCTCTTCAAAATCTCAGCCAACTCTTAAGAATAATAATACAATTTGTAATAGATGATAACATTATTTTCTTATACATTTAATTAAATATAACATGTGAGATATACTCTTATTAACAATTCTCTGTAAATAATATTCAAAAGTTGATTTTTATAAATACAAACACATCATATAAATGTATGTGACATATTATAGCGCGATCAAAATTCCAACCTTTACTGATATAATTCTATCTTATGTAAAAATTAGTATTATGCATTTTGCATTAGATGTTCAAATAATTTAACTGCTAGTATTTATAAGTCATTTTACTTTGATTAGATTCTCTAGATTTTTATATTTTATTTTATTATCAGAGAAAAAATGCTTTCTTTTGATATAAGTGTAGTAGCAAGAGAGACACTCATTAATAAAAAACAAGTTTCCTTCTCAAATTTATCAATAAGTCATTATATTTATTTATCAACCGCGTACAAGGAATATCAGTTAATTGTAGAGTATGTATCCCATTATTTTTGTTTAAAAATGCCATAGAGAAAAAAAATGAATTAAAATATCTGCTACTTCATTAACCAAAAACAAATAACTGGCATACAATATCCAAGTAAAAAGATTATTACTGGATAGGTTTTTATATAAAATACAAATTATGCTGTGAAAGATCTCGTTTTTTTTTTTGATAAAGTGTAGGCTTTCATAAAGAAGGTCGGTGTTTTTTTTACAGAGCACCTCTTTGACTAGTGAGATTCTCCATATATATAATAAATATAGAATGAAATATTGGTATGCAAAGATGGTATATTGCTATTAAAATATCAGCTGTGTACATCAATTATTAATGCTAGAGATTCTTTTTTTTTTAAAAAAAAACCCCCTCTTATAATTACTATGTCTATCAGTCGCTGTGCATAAAATATTACCTAGCTATCATATTGATAGTAATAATGCTGCAAATATATCTTTTATTCTTTAGAGTATAGTAAAATATACTCTAGTGTATCCCTTGTAAGAGTAATATCAAGATATTTATACATCTCTTTTGAAGAGTAATATATTGATACTCTCTATCTACAAAGGTTTGGTAATAATTATTTTCAAGAATATTTAAAAGAGTGCTAGGTAATTTGTTGCTCTGTTGTATTATATAGCATTTTAAGAGATGATCTGCATTTGCATTCATTACTCCAAAAGACTGCGATAGAGTGACCATGTTTTCCCTTTCTTTTTTTTTAAAAAAAAAATACCA